AGCCACGGCATAAATGATTGTTGAGCAAATGAATGAAGGGATGAGTGGATCAGTCACCATAGGAGGCAATTTGATGAAGAAGTTTTATGTTTGCTTTCAGTTTCCAATTCCCACTGGCAAAAAGTAATATATTTTGTTTTTCTCTGTCTCCCCAGTTCCAGAGGTAGAGGAATAGCACCCCTTAAGAATAAGAGATTGGAGGGCTGGGGTGTAGCTCAGTGGTAGAGCACTTGCCTAGTGTGCGTGAAGCCCTGGGTTTGATCTCCAGATTGCTGTTCCTCTCCAATAGTCTTTCTTTTCTCTCATCTTTTGCTTTCTTCATTGAGTTTCTGATTGTGGAAATGAAATATAATCATTATAGGAATTCTTCAAAGTTGGGGGGGGAAGCATGAAAATGCTGGGGGTGGGAAAAACCCACTCCTGACCCCCACTGTGAGGAGACTTGGTGGTCAGCTTGTTGGCTGCAGGACTCTGAAGGGGCACAGTAAGTGAAGTTGAAGGCATACTCTTGAGGCCTCCCTCCCAGCTGCCCCCACCTGTGGTCATTTCCCAAGTACACCAAGGGGCCATTCCCTTACCATCTCCAATGTTCTGGGGAGCTTTGGAAGAGCTGTCCTTCCATTTAGCAATGGAAATGATGAAATGCCTTTGGACTTGAACTTCTCACCTGCAACCTGAAGCCAAGCTTTCCTGCAAGCAGGAGTCAGGTGAGCAGTATTTAGGATTATGGTAATCTCCTGCACTGCTATCCTCTTCCAATTTTTCTAAGTTGCCTTTTAAACTGATTTCCTTGATGCTGTTTGAGTCAGCCTTTTCGCTGCTATGACTAAAGGATCTGACCAGCACAACTGTAATGTTTGTAGGGGAGGAAAAATTTACTTGAGAGCTCAGGTTTCAGAGGTCTCAGTACACAGAAGTCTGGCTCCATTCCTCAGGGCTTGAGGTGAGGCAGAACATTATGGTGGGAGAGTGTGGCACAGGGAAGCAGCTCACATCTGGGTGGCCAAGAAGCAGAGAGACTACAGCTCCAGATATAAAATATATAACCCATAGCCCTACCCCCAATCAACCACCTCCTCCAGCCATACCCCACTGAGCCATACCACTCAGTTAATCCCATCAGAAATTAATCACTGATCGGGTTAAGACTCTCACATCCCAATCATTTTCCCCCTGAACTTTCTTGCATTGTCTCACGTGTGAGCTTCAGGGACACCTCATATCCAAACCCTAACACACTTCCTAGCAGTTGAATCAGCATATCACTAAAATGAATGATGAGACTTCTTCAAAATGACTGGCTTACAGTTTTTATAAATTCTGGATTTCTAAGATGATAATGGTTCCTTTGGAATTACATGGTACTTTGTAATTCTTGAGAATTACATGGGTACTTTAGAAGCTATTGAAGAAATACAGGTAAGGATGGGAACAGGTTTTATCTGCATGCCCAGAAAAACCTGTACAATGGCGATTGCACCCCCAGGAGTTCTGCTGAGGATTCTGAGACCACGTCCACACTCCACGGGAAAAAATGAAGTGGTTGGTGGTTGATTAGTGATGTCTGCTGGGGAAATGGAATGGGGGTATGGGATGGAAGCTTTTCCTGTCATCCCTGAACATAAGGTCCAGGCCTTCAAGGAGCTTAATTGATTTCTATTAGAAAAGCAAGTTAAAATCAAAGGCAAACCATACATGCTAAAGTGAGTTATAGTGTAAGATTTCTCTCATGGGAAAAAATCAAAATGGGCTGGAAGACTTTTGGAAGAGGTGGGCGGGGGCTGGTCCTGAGACAAAATCTAGACAAAGGCTGGGTGGGGAGGAGACAAGAAGACAGAGCAGATTGAGGAATGAATTTTGTTGTGTCACATTTCACATAGCTCCAAACTATAACTACTATCCACTTTACATTATGATGAGATCATCCTCCTCAGGGTAAGTACAAAATTTTAGAATATATATAAGCTGAACTTATAAGATAAGTTAAATTATATTTAGAACAGAATAAAGATGCATTTGAAAATTTAAAGGGACAACTACCACTTTTAAGCTTGTGCAATGTTTAAAAAGAAAAAAGAATAACGTAACAAAAACCTGCGGAGAGTGAAGATTTTTGTCATATTTGCCTCCAGACTCTTTTTGTTTTTAAAGAAATAAAATATTGCAGATAAAACTTCAGTCCCTCTATCAGCCTGTCGATCTCCCCAGGAACAACCACTACAAGAAATCTGAAGTTTATTCTTCAAGTTCATTTGAAATATTTTTACATACCGACCTGTGTACACACAGACATTTCTCAACTCTTTTTCATTCCTTTATTGTCAAGAAGTCAAGCCAACACCCTCTACTTGCCAACCACATCTCATAAAGCATTTTCTTTAGAACCTCTTAGGAACTTTCTGCACCATCTTCTCCACTTCTCCCCCACATTCCCCTGCTCCTTCCCCCTTAAATATACTCCTTCTTTTTTCTCTCAGGATAAATCTTATACTTTTCTTTCTTTACTTTCTTCAAGTCCTCTCCATATGAGTTTTCCCTTTTTTTGAACCCCTTAAATTCTGGTATGTTGGACCTGGCCTACATGACAAATGCAGTAGTCAATTTTCGTTACTGTAACAAAACACCTGAGATAACCAACTTAAAAATAAGAAAAGTTTATTTCTGCTCACAGTTTTTGAAGTTTAGGTCTATAATTGATTGGCCCTATTGCTTTTGGATCTATGTTGAGGCAGCACATAAGGGCAAAAATATGTGGTAAAAGAAGCTTCTGACCTCGCAGCAACCAGAAGTAAAGGGAGAGAAAAGGGTCAGGGCAAGATCCTAACAGCCCTTTCAAGGGCATAGCCCCCAATAACCTAACTTCCTTCCTCTAGGCCCTGCCTCTTAAAGGCACGGAACCTCCCAATAGTGCCACAAACTAGCAACCAAGCTGTTAACATATGAGCCTCTGGGGACATTTCAGCTCCAAACTATAACTACTATCCACCTTTATACAAAGGGTACTCCCTGTTTTATTGAGAATTTAAGTAAATTAGAGAATAATAAGAGAGGCCACATCTTCTCTTGCATTCATCATACTCTTTGGCACAAGGTTAGGCTTAAAATAAGAACTCAACAATTGTTGATGCGTGAATAAAATCATTCTTAAGGGTTTTTCTATATCAAGAATCATAGAAAAATGATTGACTGTTCTCTTTTTATATAAAAAGTGATTTTTTAACTCTGGGTCTACAGAACTCAAGAACTACAGAACTCTGGGTCTACAGAACTGTAAAAATATGGTGTCTGTAGACCCATATTTCAATATAAATTGATTCCCCTGTAATCAAATGCATTTTATTTTATTCACTTAAAACCATCATTCTGATAAGGGAGCCATAGATTTCACTAGGGTACTAAAAGGGTTACATGCCACCAAAACAAAAAAGGGGGCTAAAAAAATCCCTGTAACCTAATACCTAGTCGGGCATGTTGCTGCCAAGAATAGGCATCATATTTCCCAGCCTTCTCTGACAAATATGGTCTCATATAAACAGTAATTTCATCAGAAAGCCCTTGGACAGAGAGAGTATTTTCTTTTCTCCCTCCTCATCCTTTCTTCTTCCTGAACTGAAGACATAATTGCTAGAGCCCCTGTGGCTATTTTGGGCCTTGGGAATGGAAGCCGTAGGTAGCAGTGCAACAGGAGAGAAGACTTGGTTTCTTACCAGCATGGAGGACTGCACCAGGCCTGGTCGGACAACCTCCAGACTTCTTAAGTATGAGAGGGAAATCAACTTCTGGTTTACTTAAGCTACTGTTACTCTGGGCTTCTCAGTTACTTGCTATTGGGCCTTAGCTGAATTAATGCAACAAGCCTTTCTGGAGCTAAAGAGAAAATGGTGCTATTTATTTAAAAGACCAAAATTGTCCCTCCTTCTAGGGAAAGAATCATTTCCAATCTAGACCATGACTCTCTTAGTGCCTCACCCTATATCTAAACAAAAGTGAATTATGCTAGGACATATTTTATTCAGTGTTTATATTTTTGATAGAATGAATGAACTTAGTAATTTTTTGAATCTTTCATTTTTTCAGCTACTTTAGTCTACTTTGGTCTCCCTCAAAGATAGCATGCACGAACAGCCTGGCTTTGTGCCCATTAACTCTCCCCCTACCACTAACTCTTAATTTATGAAAGTGACTTTAAGAACGCATCTTAAGAATTTAAAAAGCCGAGTAGTAGTAAAGATTTTTCTGGCATGCCATTATATTATTGATGGACTCCATATGTATACACACACGTATCTGTACATATATATCTGGGTATATATCTATGTGTATACTTCTGTGTGTGTGTGTGTGTGTGTGTGTGTATATATATATATATATATATATATATATATAACATCATAATTATCAATAATACTTTTTAAGGATGCTGTAATTATAGAATAACTATTTGTAATAGAGAGCTATAGAATAATAGCTCCTGTCTTCAAAATAGACCATAAGTTATATATATGAAAAGATAATAGCATACAATATATACCATACAAAAGATGCAATCAAAAAGTGATATGTAATTCAGAAAAAGGACCAACTAAGGTCCTTGGAGAAAGAATATGGTTTTGATAAAAGCACAGGAGGAAAGACTAGAGAATGAAGACATAGGTTGACCAGCTGGTTGGAGCAGAAGTCTAGCTCAAATGGTTTCCTTGCTATAGATGCTTCCTGATCCCTCCAGGTGGAATTGATGTATCTTTCCACCCAGCTTCCATACAGCTCTGTGAATGCTTCTCATACCACACATACCACAGGAGGATGACAGTCCTCTCAGGACAGGGACATTCTTGTTTTTTATGAGCCTTGCACCTACCAGGTCTGCAGAAACATTTGTTAGTTTGACTTCTAAAGTTTTGATAAATAAGTTTTGTATCTGATGAGTGTTTGTTCTGCATCTTTAAACACACCATACCCTCCTGGCATTTTCTCTAAAATTACATCAAGGAGGAGGGGGAGGGATGTAGCTCAGTGGTAGAGCACATGCTTTTCATGCATGAGGCTCTGGGTTCAATACCCAGCACCCAAATAAAATAAAACAAACCATGTTTTTTGTTAAATGGTTTTAAAATACCTAGGTAAACATAAAAAAAGGAAGCTTGAATCCATATCCCAAGTCCAAGCATCCAAAGATAAGACATATGCACTCTGAACACTTCAGTGTGTACCCTCACATGGTCACACTGACGGGCTTCCCTTTTATTGAGTCTGGCCCAGAAAACTGCATCTAATGTCCCTGGAATGGCTGGCCTGACGTTTGTAAGATGTAGTGAGTACATATTCACTTCAGAGTGTGCTGATGCGAGGTCCCCAAGCAGGGACCCAGAGGCTGAAGTGGGCAGTCAGTGGGTGAAAGAAGTCAAGACCTTGCTTGATGGATGGGATGACAATCACAAGAGAAGTCAGTGCTTGACAGGCACCTGAGGGTCCTGAGCAGGGGGAACAGAGGAGAACCTTCTCAGAGAGCCTAAGAATATCGCCTTGCAGGGTTCCCAGGCAGCTTCACCTGATACTGTTTAGTGCACAAAACACTATCATTAAATTGGCTTCCTTCATGAAACATAAAATTAACCATTTGGTTGGTTTATTTGTCTGTTATGAGACTGGGGTTGAACCCAGGGCCTTGTGCATGCTAGGCAACCACTCTACCCTGTGCTAATCCCCCAGCCCTAAATCAATCATTGTAAAGTAAACAATCTGTCACCTCGAATGTAGTTCCAAAATATTCCCAGTGCACCACAGTGACACTCTGTACTCATTTGGCAGTTTTTTCCTCATTTCCCCTGCCCCCAGCTTCCTCTGACAACCCCAATCTGTGTTCTGTCCCTATGGATTCTTTCTACTCTAAATATTTCATGTAAACGGAATCCAGTGATATGTGACCTTTTGTGCCTGGCTTGTTTCACTTAGCATAATATTCTCAGGACTCATCCCCAAGATAGCATGTCCCTTTTAAGGCTGGAGCATATTCATCCATTGATGGATATTTGAGCTGTTCCCTTATGGTCTCTGTAAAGGGAATATTTGCAGATGTGGATATTTATAGTCAGGGCCTCATGGATAGAGGGCAGATGTCCATTTGGGGTTACCATGGTTAGGCCTTCAAGTGCCCCTGGGCTGATATATTGTGGGACTCAGAAAGACTCAATACGATCACACTCCATGTTTGTTTTCCAGCCTTCCTCTGCGCGATGATCAGGACAGAGAAGATGACCTCTATCTTATAGATGAGGAACCTGAATTCCAGAAATCAGAAGTCAAATGATCTGGCTGGTCAGGTCAGGTTGTGCCCCCAAGCCTCTGTCCAAATCCCCACCTCCTCAGAGGGTTGCCATTGACAATGACCCACAGTGAAAGAAGTGGACTTGAGTAGGAGGGAGATTTGTGTGTCAGGAATAAATCTTGTTGCGAATCAATGGAGGCGAACAATTGCAAGTCTGTTCACGCAGGAATGAGACTGGTCCCCAGGGACAGGGGATGCTTTTCTTAACCCAAACACTCCATCCTCATTGTTCTCCTTTGCTGCCCACCCAGAAAAGCATCTGACCAGCACTTCACATTTCATCTCTACAGATCCTGCTTCCTGGGGACCTGGGAAGGTGGTTGTCCTGCACATGGTGGGTGTAGGGTGGGTACAAAATGTTCTGTATGGGAGGCAAGCAGTGCACAGTCTTCTGACAGAGATGCTTAGGCAACGAATTTCGAAAAGAATGAGTGAGTGTATACAGGAACAGGGTACAACGCACTTTAAAATCTTTTGCAGCTTTTTCTGCTAGACGACTTATTCTTTCTGTCTTAAAAACAAAGGCAAAAATCTCTATCAAGGCTGGGTGCCGTGGCACCCACCTGCAATCAGGCTCAGGAGGCTGAGACAGGAGGATCGTGAGTTCAAAGCCAGCCTCAGCAAAAGCAAGGTACATAGCAATTCAGTGAGACCCTGTCTCTAAATAAAATACCAAATAGGGCTAGGGATGTGGCTCAGGGGGTGAGTGTCCCCAAGTTCAATCCCTGGTCTCCCCCGCTTCAAAAAAAAAAATCTCTATTGAACAGTGGCCATGGACTGTTGAGTGTCCAAGGCTTTCCCCTTCTCCAGGAGACAAAGAAGAGCAGAGCCCAGATGAAGCAGGCTTCCTCCTTCCTTCCCTCCCCACACCAAGCAGCTACACAGCTTCACCTCCCGGCTCTCATTAGGATTCCAGCAACTCTTAAGGTTTGACCTTGGATATCAGAACCCCTTTCAGACTTTGTGACCCCACAAAACAGGATTTAGATTTCTCCCTTTTGCTCTCCAGAAACCCAGCTGGCTAGACGGGGGTCGGGGGAGGAGGGGTTCTGATTGTATTCCCTGGCTTCCTGTTCTCATCCCTAAGAAGGTGCTACGGATGATCTCAACCGTGTCAAGATGGGCAATCAATTCTCATGCAAGCAAGAGGCCCAAAACACCCGGGCTGGGAGCTGGAGTTGGAGGGATCAGGAGAGGAGAGGGAAATGAGAAGTCCAAGGCTGAAATACTGCAGGCCAACCAAACATCTTTTGCTCTTTTCCGGCCCTAAGAATAAAAGCTCCCTGATAGGGCTGTGCTCTTCTTTCCTATTATGGTCATGTGGTTTGGGCTGGAGGAACAATTGTTCCCAATAAACAGAGGTGGGCAGCCTGGCTCTCCTTTTCCTTTCCTTTGGGAGTCATTTGGGCTGCAGTGACCCTGGAAACCATCCCCGCTACGGATTAGACTTTGTTTGAATTAATAAAATCTTGCGGGGGTTTATTGCTGTTTTTAGGACCCAGCCCCTTATTTGGTTTGGGGAAAGGACACTTTCCTGCTGATTCATAGCACTTCTGTTGAATTGAGCACAAGGAGGAGACAAGGACATGGGGAGGCTCTGAATGAGGGGACAAAAGAGCCCAGCAAAAAGACAAAAAGGTGGGACACACTCTGTTCTGGTCTGGATTAAGCACAACAGATTATGTGAACCTAGTTATCATCACTTAGATGAGAGGGGGGCTTTTGGAGACAGTTTGTCCTGGTAGAGTTTGCTTATCATAAGGAGAAACAGGGTGGTCATAATGGAAAACCTTTATGGTCAGATCCATGGGTTCAATTGTTGACTCTCTGACCTACTGGCTGTGCGCCCCAGGGGAATCATTTTGCCTCTCTGAGCCTGGGTTCCTCACTTGCAAAATCAAACTAAGAACACTACAGGAGACAGATGGCCCATGGAACAGGTTAGTGTGGAGCGGGACACAACCAGGGTGTGGCAGGCCAGGGAGTCAGCATGGGGCCTCTCAGGATCACAGTTAACTTGGCAAAATTATCACAGGTTAGGGTCAGTTATAAAGGCTCAGGAACCTGATGTCACTCAGAGTGAGGGTATCTAATTAACATTAACCTGATTCCCAGAGACTGATGGATAAACCAGAGTACCCAGTTATTGATTCAAAGCGACAAAACCAGTAACTTGGAGGGCCATCTGCTCCTGTGCATAGTCGGAGCATTTTCAGTTGGTGGGGGTATAGTTGGCTCAGTTGAGGAACAAGCAGAAAACTGGAGGTATTGTTTTCACGAAATGATCTGTTATCTGCTTACTCCTTTAATTTCCCACAAGTGTCCTGGTTTTCATGCCACAGCCACAGCCAGCAGCTTGCCTTTTCACACATGTACCACATTCTCTATCGCACRTATTTGTCAGGTTCTACCCACCATCCTTTGCCCCCCAGACAATGCTTCCTAACAATGCTGAAATTTGTATCTAAGCATCTCTCTCTTTCTTTTGCACACACATATCCATGGATGTCAGGGAGACCCATTCTATTTTCAGCTCCAGCCCTAATCTGGATCACGGATGGCCAAAAAAAAAAAAAAAAAAAAAAAAAAAAATTACCTGGGGTAGGCCATCACTCAAGGCAGATATATGACTTCATTTGACAAGGTCAGGGCAGATCTTTGGAATCTTGCTGGGGATAACATGGGAGGAGAAGTGCTGTCTCTTCTTCAGGCCCCTGTAGTTTGTGGACTGTAGCTGTAGCTGTAGCTGACTTGCCTCACTGAGAAAACTAAGGGTGCAGTTGACACACAGAGGAAGGAAGAACATAGAAAATCATAGACAAGTCATTTGGAGTTCTGATCAAGCCATACCTGAAGCCCAGTTCTTCTAGATTAATGATTCTCAATTAGTGGGGAGGAAGTTTAGGTGGATAGTATTGTCCCTTGGGAAATTTTTGAATGTACAGAGCTCTTTTCTTTTTTTTTTTTTTAAAGAGAGAGTGAGAGACAGTGAGAGAGAGGGAGAGAGAGAGAGAATTTTTAGTATTTATTTTTTAGTATTTGGCGGATACAACATCTTTGTTTGTATGTGGTGCTGAGGATTGAACCCAGGCCGCATGCATGCCAGGCGAGCACGCTACCGCTTGAGCCACATCTCCAGCCCTGTACAGGGCTCTTTTCATCATAACAACAATTGGAGCTATCACTGTTTCATTTACAGGTATTAAGAACATTCTGCAATGTGTGGGCTACCCACAAGGCAGAGAACTGTCTACAGTCCTGCAGCACTTGGATATGTCTTACCCAACATCAATATTGATGAAAATCCTGTTGTTTTACTTTGGGTTATCTGAAAGCAGAGCTTTCAATATAGGTTTATAATTAGTGTATTTGGGAGATGACTTCAAGATGTAGGGAGAGCATGATGATTAATTTTATGTGTGTATGTTATTGGGCCCTGGGGTGCCCAGCATTTGGTAAGACATTATTCCAGGTGTGTCTGTGAGGGTGTTTCTGAATGAGACTGATATTTAAATGAGTAGGCTGAGTAAAGAGACTGTGTGCCTCAGTATGGGTGGGCTAGAGAGAATTCTGTCTTCAAGCCGTAACATCTGGAACATCTGTTCCAGATGCCTTCTGTTGCTTTTGGGCTTGGACTCAGTTGGTTCTTCCACTTCTCAGAACGGAATGTACACCATCAGCTCTTTGGGGTCTCCAGCTGGCTGATTTGGGACTTCTCAGCTTTCATAATCATGCAAGCCTGCT